TACTTTCATTAGAAAGGAAGTTTTTATATTAGTTTTTTGACCTGTATGCTATTTATAGGGTGATTTTTTATTTTTGAAGAAAGGGGCAGAAATATTTGACGTTGTCATCCTAAATCAACAGGTTTCCTTGCTGTTTTCCACATGAGAAAACAGAGACTCAGAGATTAGTGGCTTTTACTCCCTCACTCCCTATTTCATCAAAATTGCTCTTGTCGAGGTTATTGACGATCCTTGCACTAACACCAATGGATTCGTAGTCCTCAACTTGCTTGACCCGTCATAGCCTTTGATATGGTTGATCACTTCTTCCTCCTGGATGTGTTTTCCTCACCTGTTCCTTGGGTGCCATACTCTTCTCTCCCTCCTCCCAACCTCCTAAAGTTGGGGAGCCCCAGGGCTCAGTCCTTGGTCCTTTTGTCTTCCTTCCTTCCTCCCTCCCTCCCTCCCTCCCTCCCTCCCTCCCTCCCTCCCTCTCTCCCTCCCTTCCTTCCTCCCTCCCTCCCTCCCTTCCTTCCTTCCTTCCTTCCTTCCTTCCTTCCTTCCTTCCTTCCTTCCTTCCTTCCTTCCTTCCTTCCTTCCTTTTCCTTTCTTTCTTGAGTGTTCCCAAGCTCATTACCCTGCTCTACTTTTTATTTTTTCTGTAACACTTAATTACCTTCTAATATTCTATATAATTTAATTTATTATTGTTTTACTGTCTATTTCCTATCTCTCCTGCTAGAATAAATGTGTCCTCCAAGAATGGGGATCTTTGCTTATGTTGTTCTCTAGGGTTGAGAACAATGCTTAGTGTATAGTAGGCACTTACTAAATATCAGTTGAATATGAATAAATGAATGAGCCAGGTTTTAGATTTGAGTATTTTTACTATGCCATGTTCTTCTCTGGGCTATGCTAAGTGCTATAAGGTGACATGTAAAATAGATTCTGTAGGTTTTTTGAGAAAGGGGCTTTTGACCAGTGCTTGGGAAGGGAGTAGGGGAAATGGATGGAATTTCATCCTTTTCTATCTCCCAAAATTTTCTTTCTGGTCTCTATATCTCCCTTTTTTGCTTGCTGTTAAGTTTTTGTGGTTGTTGTTGTTTTTTACGTGTGTGTGTGTGTGTGTGTGTGTGTGTGTGTGTGTGTATAGTGGGTGAGTGTTTTGGATTGTGATATAACATATATTTCTGACTGTGACTTGAGAACAGAAAGGTTTGAAAGTCTTTATTGGAGAAATCCAGCTCAATATGACTGAAGCACAGTGGGAAAGAGGAAGAAAGCAGGAGACTAGGTCAGTCAGGGGGCAGCAGCAGGTCATAGATAGCTCTATCAGCCAGGATAACCAGTTGGATTGTTTAACTTGCTTGTTAAGTTTTGTGTGACTTCTTAAGTCAATTTTTTCCCTCTCTCATCTTCTTAGATAAAAGCATTTACTTCTAGGTGGTAATTAGGTTCATTCCATTACCAAATACACTTCCAGTTTCTATGCTAATGATACACTTTCCTTCCTTCTCCAAGTAATGGATAACACAAAACTTTCTTTCCTTTTCTATTGTTTCCCTTTACCCATCCCTTCCATCCACTTGTCCTTAAAGAAAAAATAATTTTATTATGTAAGTAAATTTGGGATTGACTATAGTAGGGTTTCAAAAAGTCATCTAAAAGTATGTTCTCTAATTCTCATTAATTTTGTATGATTGTCTTCACTGAAGCTAGTCACAACACAAGCTCACCTTTCAGAATTAAAAACAAATTAGCAAAAGCTAAAAATGGGACATATTTAGAAAGGATGGAAAATTCCAGACTGCAGAGGGTAAGCTTTTGTGGTTTCTAGTCTTTTCCAGTATTTTAACATTGACAAACAATTACTCCCCAAGGAGAAGCGACACTTTCAAAAGGCTCCAGATTCCTAGGGTGGGTTTGTGGGAGGAAGCAGTGGTGGGATATGAGGGATGTCTATGTGTAATGTATATATTTTATAAAGGTGGCCAAGTGCCTTATTTTATAACTTGTGGAGACTTGAATCTTAAGCACACAAGATTTTCCTAAACTTCTAATTATTTTGGACATAATGATATTTTCTTATGAAGTAAACCAATTTTATTCTGAAACTAATGGAAGAATTCATTTTCTTCACATGTAATTTAAGTCAGATCTATTTAAATTAGGTAATTAAACATATGTAACTAGAATGTGGAGCAAGCATGACTCATGATAATGTAATCATAACACAACTTAATTTTTCCAGTCTTCCTTTGGCTCATTATATTCACTGGGAAAAAGTGTCCCTTGACCCTGATGAAAACTCAGACTGGCCCCATGGATTTTCTGCCAACTCTGGGCCATGGACAGTCCTGACATCATTTTAAATTATAAACACAGCCTCCATAGATGTCAATCAAAATATCAAACTCAAATTCCTTTCCCTTTCCTAGCTGGAACTGAGCAACAGAAAGTCTGAGCAACTCAACCAAGTATCCACACCTAAAACTAGTGCCCTCACCCTCTGATTGAAGACTCCATTTTTTTTCACTACACATATTAAATACCCATACCCAGGAGGGGTTTAACAAAACCATTCACTCTCTTTGTTACTTCATTTTGTACAGAAAGTAAGAGAGAGACTGAAGGGTCTTTATTCACCTGGGAATTCCAGATTAGCAATGGTACAGGTGTCTCTGCTCACCCCATTGAATCATCATGCTCGTTGACCCTGAGTTTATGCGAGATGCTGCTAAATGACAGCTGCTCAAGTCTGTAACCCCACCTGCCCAGACTAGAGAGCTGAGTAATGTTAGGCTCCGAGTCCTACCCATGTCATTGCAGATCAGCTGCAGCACAATCAGCACAATGAGGAACTTATAGAGATGAGTATAAAAATGAATTCTCCCGAGACCGAGTCAACATCCCCTCCGAATATGGAGGTAAATTTTGTCACAACTCTAGCGACCTTTCAGGGAGACGACAACTCCCACAGGAGGATGTTCACGTGCGTCACAAACCCACAGCCCCAGAAATATTGACAGCTGGGGTGAGCAGGGCCATCTTCGTTCTCCCTCTGCCTCCTTTTTTCTTAACTAAAAGTAACTTAGGGGGAAAACACGCCCTTTCTGAGCTTGGCGAGAGCCACAGATTTGTGAAGAGGCCCCACAGACCCCAGGCATGTGGTCCACATTTTTTCTTCTTTTGTGTTGCATTAATGATAGGGGTTGAATCTCTTCTGCCTTCACTATTGACTGAAGATTCGAAGAAAGGACAAAGCCGGTGTGTGGGTTTGTGTGTGTGTGTGTGTGTGTGTGTGTGTGAGGGAGAATAGAGCAAGTAGGGAGAACAGAGCAAGTAGCTAAATTGTAGAGAGTATAAACATATTCTTTTCCAGGTTCCTCCCTTCAGACCAGGACTTTATGGAATGAGGTTGGAATCATTGACTTTCAAAAACAGCACAAAACACAGCACACCTAAACAAATTACTAAAATTCTGTGGCACACCAAAGAATATATTTTTTTGCAGGTTTGACAAAAAATAGGTATACTTTTGATTCATTCACACTGGATAGCTATTGTCATTTTTTTTTTCAATTTGACAATCTAAGGGGAAAAGAGGTCAGTGTATGTTTTAAAAATTCTTGTGGCACACTGGTTGGAAATCGCTGTTCTATTCTGCACATAGTGTAATTGCAAAGGATACTTTTCCAAAGTAACATAGTCACTGGACTTAAATAGGAAGCAATTTCAGACTTTCACAGCTTAAACAGCATTCTGACACACACGTTCACTCATTCAATCACTTTAGTGCTCTGTTTTGATGTATCATTGAGAATAGTGTGATTCCATATTATCCCTGCAAAAAGCCCTTCTTAGACTAAAAACATTTATAATTTGCCTTATCAAACATTCATTCTTTACTTTGATAAAAATATGCATTTTTATGTCATTTCCATGATTATCATGAATTTCCAACATTGATATTGCTTTATAGTAAGCTCCTAATTTACTCAGAATCAGGAAAGCAGAAAACGCTAGGAGAACATTATATTTGTCAGAAAAACCCACAGAAAAACTCATATGCACTTTATTGATAACTTTTATAACCCAGATAGCAAGAATAAATCTTTATAGAACTTGGTGTATTACAGATTGTGAACTACCTTTTGAACCATCAAAGACAAATTACCTTCAGTATAATTTTATGTTGATTACTTTATCCGAATTCTTTGAAAATTTATAAATCTATGTCACACTGTAAGCCTCAAATAGCAAGAACATTCTTTTTTTTTTTTTTTAAGAACATTCTTTTTCCCCTCTTTTTTCCAAATATTTTCATTCTCATAAACCTTGGGTGATAATCCATGATTGTAAACCTCAATTAACTAGAACATTCTTTTTAACTTGTCCTCCCAAACTATCTTCTTTCTCAATAATACTAGGTAGGTTCCATAAATAAATGCAAATTGAGGAAAATCTGTTTTTAGGAATGTCCTGTAAGTTTTCACAGGAGATGCTCAAAATATTGTCTTCAAACAGTTGTAACAGAAAGGAAATAAAATGTTGAAGCTCCTTGAGAACCAAAAACCAAATGCAATGAAGGGTCTCATTTTAAATAGTGGCTCCACGGATTGGAAACTAATCAGACCTAGAGTCATTATAAAAAGGAAGCCATTCAGATGACCTACTTCAAAATAAGATGGCTGGGTTATAAATTCCCCTTCTAATTAATTTTATTGTTTTAGTTGATGGAACCACAGAAGTGAAAAGAACCTGGAAAAAGTGAGTGAGCACTGTACCCGGCAGAAGCCACACTTCCAATGCCTGCAACTACTTTAAAAAGGAATGAAGATGCAGGATGTTGAGCATTGGCTTTGAAGGTAAATATTGAGGCTGAAAGACATCGACTGGAAAGGTTATTTTTCATATTCAGTCAAATCAGTCTGACTACATTTCATTTCCTACTGTGAGTGGAATAGTCATCAAGCTAGAATCAGGAACTCCAGAGTCTTTTATTAAGTTTCTTTACTTACCTTCCATGGGGGTGTTACTGTCTGGTCGATTTGCGAAGACGACATCCACATACTCCAGCTGCAGCCTCTGGAGGGAGCCCTTCAATCCTGGGAACAGAAGCAGGACAAACCGAAAAAGTCCAAAATGAGCACTATTAGAAAGAGTTGAATTTTGGTTATCTTTAAGAATCTACTTTTTTAAAATTAAAAAGCATTGGATTAGCTTCAAGGAGGCATCTAATACAATGATGTGTTACTTGACCCCTAAATCCTTGTAAAACTATGTCAAAGTCTGATTTTGTCCCCACAAAGAAAAGTCTTAGCCTGGCTTCAGTGGCTCAGTGGTTGAGCATTGACCTATGAACCAGAAGGTCACAGTTTGATTCCTGGTCAGGGCACATGCCTGGGTTGCAGGCTCAATCCCCAGTAGGGAACCTGCAGGAGGCAGCCGACCAGTGATTCTCTCTCATCATTGATGCTTGCTTCTCTCTCTCTCTCTCTCTCTCTCTCTCTCTCTCTCTCCCCCTTCCTCTCTGAAATCAATAAAAAATATATTTTTTTAAAAATAAAATTCTTTTCTCTATGGCATTAGTATTCCCATGACACTGGAAAATACAGACTTAGTGATCATGTTGTAGTGACTTATGTGTGGTACTGTCCAGAAGCAAAGTTTAGAATAAAAAGCAGCCCAAGAATTTCTTCTTGAAAAATTGAACTAATGTCATGTATTGAATTACTTAATGGACTTATAATGAAATAGAGGTATATTTATTGCATGGCAAAACATAAAAATAATACATATCATAAATAAGTGACAACCAATGCCACAATGGGTTATAATAGGAATAAAAGGGTTGGCCAGTGAGGGCGTTACTCAACATCTCATTGATTGGAACAAAGTTCAAAGAATCTTAAATACAGCTGAGCTCTATTATTTCTATTACTCCCCATTCTTTTTGGGAAAAACAAAAATACTAGAAGCTATAAAGACTGAAGAGGTAATATAAAGGACAGAGTGAGAGCTTACAATAAAATCTAGAACCCATAGTCTGTTTCAACTCTAACCATTTTATCACATTCCTGTGACTATTCAGAAAAAAATATTTAATTTCAGTAAAATTAATGCTTCCCTGAAATAGAATGTATTGTACATAATATTATGTAACCGAAAGGACAGTGTTCAAGAGTCATTTTATCTCATTTCCATGAGGCACAGCATTTCCTTATCAGCCTATTTAATTCTTCAGGAAGACCGGAGGGTTTTCTCTTTTTATTACAGGCATAAAATTAATTGCATGCTAAATGAGGCTCTTAAAAATTTAAAGTTGGCTCATTTAAATTTGATTTTTCAAACTAGTTTATCGGCCAGCCCCAATTACTTTTCTGACAGGAAAATGGAGTGCTGGACAATAGTTCCGGAAGTATTTTTCACTCATTAAGAAAGGATTGTCTATGGTGGCAGATCGTTAAAAGAAGCATTGATGAGCAGATTAGGGCAGACAGGTGTTATAAGGTCCAATGCCTGCTCTTGAAAAACTGCAGTGACTTTCAGGCTCAGGGTATTACCAGCTACCTCAAGGGGCAGCTTGCCATTCAATTTAACTTAAAACTCTATGATCTGAACCACTTTTTGGAAGCAATTGTATGAAGGAGTTAAGGGGAGGACCGGATCACGAAGCAAACAAATAGGGTGTTACAAGGTCTGAAAGGTTGGAAATCTACCCTAGCATGCTGTGTGATCTCACTCGGCTCATTTCACCTTTTTTTGTGATTCAACTCTCTGCTCTGCAGTGGGGATAACAGTACTTGCTACCTTCGGAACTGCTGCTCCGGAGAGCAAATACAATCAGTTGTAAGTACTTTGTAAATATAAATAGAATAAAAAACAGGCTCCAGAGGGCATCCAGACAGCTAATCATAACCTAAGGAGCTAAGTGCTCCAGGGCAGTGAGTGCACTTGCTGAAGGCACTTTGACCTTAACCTGTCCCTGGACACCTAGGCAGTATCTATCTGCTGGAGTGAATAGAAGAGAAGCAGGGGGATTACTCCCTGCCCTTGAGGAATGTCTAGAAATTAACTGGCAATTCCTCAAAAATCCACAGGATGATAAATTATGTTATACAAAGAAAACGGCTCTCAAGTGACTGTAGGAAAGAGAAATCTAAGTTCATTTTTCTTTTAGGTTCTGAAGTTGAACAGGAACTGTATTATTTATAAAGTGATCCTTAATTCAGTTTAAGCCTGTTGTACAGGCATCTACCTAAAGACAGGTGCTCATTCCAGACATTAAGCAGGTTGGCATGCGCGTGGGTCAGGTGCTCAGGGTTGCAGGTCTAACTGTAGAAACAAGGAGATCGGTAGTTCGGAGATTCTGCAAGGGTTCTATTCATATATGCCGCGTCGTCATTTTTTATACCTATAGCACATTTGATTTCCTATCTACTGGTAGCTTGAAAAAAAGTTGCCGTCAGTAATGTACACAGTGTCCCTATGTAATTTTCCAGGCTCTTCTCGGCAGACCTCTCAATCATGATGTAGGACACACTTGCTTTTTTTGTTTAAATAAAGACTGCACTGTACTAGAATAATGTAAGTGCCTGCCTCTCCCATTATGAAACCTGGTTATTCTGGTGGCTAATTTCTATTACTATGAACATGATACACTGAGAAGGAATCCTGGGGTGAATCCACTTGTTATGAAATTTATTTTTAAATTAAAAAATAATAAATTATCTATCTATCCATATCTATATCTATCTATCTATCTATCTATCTATCTATATATTATTGATTTTTTTACAGAGAGGAAGGGAGAAGGATAGAGAGTTAGAAACATCGATGAGAGAGAAACATCGATTAGCTGCCTCCTGCACACTCCCTACTGGGGATGTGCCCGCAACCAAGGTACATGCCCTTGATTGTAATCGAACCTGGGACCCTTGAGACTGCAGGCCGACGCTCAAGTTCAGATATTAGGATTAACCATTTGCAATTCATTAAAAATGGTTAAGCAGAGCTTTCTCAGATTATTTTCTTTTTCTATTCCTAAAACGATGACAGTGGGTTTGTGTTTTGAATCACATAAAAAAACTTGTTTACCTGAAAGGCAACTACAGACTTAGACACAAGTTTTGCCTATAAAAGCACACAAACAATTTACTTATTCTTATACTTTGGCTTACCAAACCATCTCTATTCTTTCACGTTAGATACCAAGAAATTGGATCTGCCGAATTTTAACACTGGCATACTAGTACATTTGAGCTTAATAAATGTTTGTAGAATGACTACTAGTAAATGAATAAATAGACTTTCAGAACCTGAGAGAACCTTGGGATTCTAAATGGGTATAATAAAGCTGTTAATGGGACTTCTACCCCTTCCCTGTGACTCTAAGGAGAATGTTATTCCTAACTGGATCTAAGGCAAGGACTTTGGACTCATTGAAAAGGTCTTTCATGTGAATTTTTTTCAAAACTACATTATTCACAAGTCAAGCTCATTTTACATGATATGAACTAACTCAGGTGGCCAAAGTTACCCAGCACACAAGTGGCCTGAACTCTACATAAGTCAGGCTTCGACACTGGAAATTTATACACACATTAAATTTAAGAGCAATTCTCAAATTTAATGTGTGTATAAATTTCCAATGTCGAATAGTTGAATAAGGTCACCTTTATCACAGAACAAGTACCAATGAAACCTAAATTTTGTAAATCATTCAAACTTTATTTTGGGTCTAGAAATCTCATGTCCCTCCTTTTATTTCCCTACAAAATTTACTCAATTCCATAATTTCAGTCCTTTTTGCACTCCTGATTATTTTTTGTCTTTGGCTGAAGCTATAAACTGTAAAATAACAGCAACAATAACAACATAATAATAATAGATCCCAATTCTTTTTCAATCTCAAAAGTTTGAAATTTTGTGTTAAAGTTTGATTCTGGGTCGACTGAAATTTCAGCTGAACAAGTTTATGCATCCTGAGAGATTAGTTCCTAAGAGAATTCTTGACTTATTTAAAAGGAGAATTTAAGATATTTCTATTAGGTTATATGAAGCTTCAAGAAAACAGATTTTTAGATTTTTCTTTTTTCTTTCTTTTTCATAATTGAGATTTTATTGTTCATTTTGAGGACCAGTACACAGACATTTCAATTTGTACACAATTCTTAACATATGTACCAACGTTATAAAGTCATCTGAGCTATTTTTTCCTAAAGTTATTTCAGTGACTTTCAAGCTTAAAATTTGGAGACTAATTTTCCTTAATAGAGTATCAAGTACCAATATCTTTAATGTTGATACGCTGTTACATCAAAGTCCCACTAATTCACAATTTAATATCATATATACTACATTATCAAATTTTCAATCTTTCACAGCAAATTAACAAAATTACTAGGAAAACGACTACCACATCAATGATGTACAAAATTCTGTAAGGGAGAACCAAGATCAAGGGGTGGTTTTATTTAGGGAAGAATTCTACCAAAAACATGTGAATAGAAGTAATTTAAGATGTTCAAGACATAGGAAATGCACGACTGACTCCAAACTGCCATTTAGTATGCTTTGTGATATAGGATATAAAACTGCCCCCATCTATGGAATGTTAAGCTGAAGAAAACGGATTTTAAAAAAGAGAATCCTGAAATTATGAACAATTACAGGTAAATATTAAAGCAATGGAGATTTGGTAAAAATCCCAGTAGCATGATGTTCTTTTTTTCTTTAATATTATATTTCTTTGTTGATTGCCAGTTTGAACCACTTTCTTAATCTCTTTTTTAATTAGTTAGAGTAAAAAGGAAAGGAAAACAAGAAGTCTGTAGGCAGCACCCTCTGCTGTGTTTGTTCAACTTGTTGCTACGAGCCGACAGGTTTACTTCTCATTGATAAACTTCATTAGAAGACACAAGGTAGGGGGTCAAATGCTAGAGCAGGAATGATAACAGTTTTGAGAGACAGGTTAAATTAGACACCAAAGCCTGAAAGGCATTTTGTTTGGGTGAAGAGTTTGGAAGCTTTCTCTAGTGCTGGAATGTGGTCATTTATATGGCAAATTTAGAATGTTCCTTACTTAGTAAAGGGTGTCCTTATCTATAGAATGGTGACGAGAAGTTGCACTATAAAGTATCATGCTGATGATGACAAATAATTTATTAAGTGTTTATTATGTGACAGACACTGCTCAATGCGAATTACCTAATTTCAATCAATGTATAGTAACACCATAGGTCGGAATATTTATAACCCATTGTATAGTCAAGGAAATGCAGGCTTAATGACGTTAAATCATTTACACAAAGTCCCCCAGCTCATAAATGACAGAGATGGAACTCAAACCAAGTTCATCTGATTTCAAAGCCCAAAATGCCTACAAATATATTAAAAATTAATTAGTAAGAATTACCAAACTCAAACAAAAACTTTGGAAACAACAACCAAATATAATTATTACTGTTAAAGTAATATAAATGGATTACTTCCATTGATTTAGTACATATGTTTGTGTTTATAAGTAGGTTGTATAGACAGAGAAGTTAATGTAACTACAGGGAAAAGTTAGGAAGGATATGCACCAGATAGTCAAACTGTGGAATGAAATGAGGTGAGCAAAGGAAGGACTTTATTTCTTTATCTACTTTTATTTTCAAATTGGTGGGATTAGAGTATACTTTATAGTTTAGGTGACTTTTGTATTTAATAAATAATATTAGTTTTAAAAGAGACAAACATCATCTGTCTAAATGATTAATTATGAATCTAAAGTTATAAAATCTTGGACTTTTCTGAAATAGTTCATGGACTAGTATAAAGATGTTGAAAATATATGGCAGCCCCTTTTAACATTTTTTTCTTTATTGCAAAAGGTATAGGTATAAAATTTTGTAATATATAGACAATGAAGAAATAAGTAAAAATTCCACCAATTCTCATAATCCTCACAATGAATTAGAGTAGTTGTACTCTACTGTGTGATGGTTCTTGCAACTATTTTAGTTCCTGTTTATTTCTGAGCTGTAGCAAGTTTTAAGCACCATCGCAAAAGCAATGGTACCATAAATCAGTCACCCAGTGGCAATTTTCTACAAATTGTTTTCTATGCATATATACTTTTTTTAAAGTATAGGAATCTTAACATATGTTTACACAAAAACTTGTACACAAATGTTTATAGCAACATTATTTATATAACAATTAAAAAGTGGAAACAATCTAAATGTCCATCAACTGATGAATGAATAAAAAAATGTGGAATAGTCATACAATGAAATTTTATTTGGCAATAAAAAGGAATGAAGTACTGACACATGCTACAACATGGATGAACATTATGCTAAGTGAAAGCAGCCAGTCACAAAATATCACATATTATACGATCTCATTTATATGAAATGTCCAGAATTGGCAAATCTATAGACAAAAGTAGATTAGCGGTTGCCTGGGGATGTGGGAGAGAAGGTAAGGAAGGGTTGGGAAGTGACTACTAGTGTGTATAAGGTTTCTTTTTGGGGAAATGAAAAATGTTTTAAAATAAAATTATGGTGGTGATTGTGCAACTCTAATCATATGCAGAACCAATGAATTGTATACTTTAAATGGATAAACTTTTATGGTATATCTATTATATCTCAATAAAACTTTTTTGAAAAGCCTTATGCAAGTGTTTTATTAATGTTAGCATAGCTGTACCTGACAACAGTTCTAGAAATTTTGGACTTTATCTGAGTTTCCCTTCTGCCCTCTCTATCACTACACTCCCAACACACAACACCAGGAAGAAACTTGGTTGATTGTGATTCTTTTTATAGAGATTATTTTTCCCCTCCCAATGTGTTTTGAATGTATTTGGCTGATACCTTTCTTGAATCAGCAGCCCACAGATAAAAGTAAAATGAAGCAGCAGAACCTACCTTCGATTATATGTTTTCTTGACAGCCCTCTTTCCGTTTCAGCTCTAACAAGAAAAAGAAGCAAATGACTCTGAGTGGGGTGTGCTTTCTTTTATCGCTGTTTCAAAAGTACAGAAGAATGGTTGTTCTGGATGGAATTGCTAATTTTATACCCTGTTCTTGGCAAATTCTGCACCACTGCAGGCTGAGGAGGAAGGCTGGTGGGCAGCATACTGAGCCCCTTTTCTTCGGAGACCCCAGGAGATGAATTAACATGACTGTCACCACCCCACAGTAATAACAACTCGGCCACCCACACCCTGTCCATATATAACTTGACACATGGCTCAACGTCCCTACCTTGTTCTTACCAATCCCAAGCAAATGAAATAAAAGGCTTGCTAGAAGTGTGTGAGCTTACTATAAACTTGCAGGCTGCTGATGGCATTAGCTTTTCCGAAAAGGAAGCAAATTGGAAAGTGCCTTTTGACTTTCAAAAGAAATGAACAATTATTGTCTTTTTATGAAATCTGAGCAAACAACTTTTCCGTGAATTAGTATCTTACAAAGACCAACATTCAACCAGGACTTTTGCCATTTCAGACCATTCTCAAACTCTGGCCAATTGGAAAGAAATGTGGTGCTTGGGTTTTAAAGCATTGCTGAAATGTTTCTTCAACATCAATACCTTTGTCAACCTTAGTAGTTTACCATTCGCATTTGGCGACTTTGCACCTTTTATAAGTATATTAGATAATATTATATATAGTTCTCTACTACATACTGGTTCTTGCAGATTGTCTTTCTTCCTGATTATTTCTAAACCATACACAAGGTTTTGAGTACCACTGCAAAAGCACCAAGCAATGGCACCATGAATCAGAGAATAGACAATGTAAATTTGCATTTCACCATGTTGCCTTATTTTTATATAGACTACAATGGTAGTAAAGATCTAAATTCCATTTTTTTTTCATATTCATCACAAGCAGGCTCAAAAACAGCAATAAAATATGAGTGTGTGTGTGTGGGGGTACACATACAATTTGGTTAGAAGATTTCTAAAAATCTGGTCTCTGCCTCCAATTTGTTTTTAACTATTTTCTATCAATTATAGGGTGGTAAATGAGGTTATGTTTGTTTGTATTTACATTTTGTTAAGAGATCCTTGAGATTTCCATGCAAAGGCTTATGGAATAGCTTGCTGTATTCTTACATGTTTGTCTTAAAGGCCAGGATTTCTAAGTCCTGCTGGATAATGTAAGTACCAGTTCAAACACCAGTAGGCCCATCAGAAGCCATTCATCCTGTGACATTTGTTCTGCACCCCACACCAGAGAGAGGCTTTCTCTTTCATGTGGCCTGGCAGCGAGTGATCCAGGAAGCTCTGCGTTATTCTCCAGTGAGATGCCCCCTTTATCTGCACTTTCAGAGCCCTCTGCGGAAATGATCAGAGACTTACAGTGGGACCAGACAAGATATTTTTATATCCGTATTCCGGAGAAGTCTCTGAGTGTTGGCAGAGTTGAATAGCTTTTCTTTGATGATGCTATGTGCTCATTTCCTCTTCCCAAAATTTGGACTCTATTTTGGTCCTAAGTATGAGGTTGAGATTTGAAAAATCTCTGTGAATCACTTAGTAACAAGTGACCTCATGCTACTAAATTTCTTTGGAAGCATCTTGTTAAAATTGAATCCTAGGCTAATTGCTATTTCCTTCAAGTGAGAAATAATCATCTTTCACTCTAAACCAGTTGATTTTGGCATATTAGATGTGAAATGGTGGCCTAAAAAGATAAAACTACTAGCTGTTTCCTACCAAGTAGGGAAAATAAAAGTTATTTAACTTACTTTCCACCCCAGTAGAGTTTGGTTGTTATGACCAGGCTGGACCTCCTGTATGTTAAACAAACACACACAGAGAAATATTAAATAAATTATTTGTAATCATACTGTCATATTATTATTATAACACCCAAAGAATTTATTGCACCACACATTTTTTAAAAGTTGGCAAAGAGATAAATTTGTTAATTCACACCACTAAAATGTGAGAACAAAGAAGCTAGTGAGTGGGGACTTGAAGTCAGATACCAGAAGAAGAGGTTGAATAGGAGTGATCTTTACCTGGAGGGGCTGGAGGAGGTTGAGGGTTGTGACAGCAAATAGGTGAATGGGTGGTGGCAAAGCGAAGGGAAGGGTGGCATGGAGGGTCAGAAATAGTAAATGAGAAGGGTAAGCGATAGGACTAACTGATGGATTGCTGTAGGATCTCAAACAAACAGCCACCCACTAACACTTACTTAGCATCTGACATAACCCTGATTGAGTGTGAACTTTCCTGGGGGTAAGTCCACCCTCTAAGGACCATGGACCTAATGGCTCTGAGTTACTACCCTTTCTAATCATCACATTCACAGGCAGGATTTGACTACATGGAAATATGAATAATGAAATAAATTGTAATGTCAATAAGTAGGAATTAAATTTCTATGAGTGTCATTTTAATGGAAACGTTATTTTAGGAAAACAGTTAAAAAATCCTTAACTCAAAGTTTTACCACCTTATTCTTAAGGGAATACAATGTGGAAATCTTGTTCGCAAATGTATTACTTTTTCAAAATCACACTCAAAGGGAGGAAATGCCATTATGATCATGGAAAAGGAAATATGTCTTGAGAACTATAGTCATGTAATTTAAAATTCAGAGGTGGATCTCAGTGTAATTTAATTTCTCCAGGTATGTAATTCAATTGAACTCACCTAGAAAAAAAATCATTTGTGATTCAAAGGTTAAGACCAAACTTTGGGAATAGTTGAAATAAGGCATTTATAGTTTCATCAGCTGCAGCGGCAATGCCTCAGGACCCTCAGGTATAAAAGCCTAGCCTGATGAATGATAACCAATGAGACGATGGTAACAAGTCTGACAACTTGGCTGCGACAAGAAAAATTCGTAGAAAATGTCAACAACCGCATCTTACTGAAGTTAATTCCCTGAAACCCAATGTGAATCACTGTAATGGAAGGTCTACAGATATAAGCATCTGAAGATTACACACTCCAGAAGAGCTGGTGCACTTTTCAGGTTGATCCATCAGCCTCATGACACCTCATGATAGTGTAGTAGTGATCTGCTGGGGGAGCTGGGCTCCTTTAGCAAACATTTTCAGAGCTTCAACAAAAGGCTGGATGGGATAGTATAAAAAATGAATGCAGCCCTTGTGATTATTCAGAGCATGTGGACCTGCAAAAGCTGCACATTCTACTCAAATACTACCCCCATAGACTCACTTATTCTTCCAAAATTAGGCTTTCTGTAAAATGTTTGGCCTACATGGGTGTGCACACTAATGTTAATGTTCAAACAGCATGAGCAGACAGCAACCCGGCAAATTTTCACTGACCTCATGGAGGCATTTAGAGTGGGTGGAGGATGATAACATGAATGTTTTACTTTGAGATGGCACAGGCTTCAGAAGACTTTTGCCCACCTTACGTCACTTTATCAGCATGACACTTTAGGGGCAGGTATGACATCCATTTTAGAGGTGGAGAAATTGAGGCTCAAAGAAGTGAGGTAACCTATCCTGGACAGCACAGTTAGCAAGTGGTGGCACTGGGAGCAGAAGCCAAGTGTGCTCTAGTTGAAATTGCTTGTGTGCTTTGGTGATACAGTTTATCTTTTCACCAGTTTTCTGGGGGTCGTGGTGAATGGATATCAATATTCTGTGGCCTGGTGATAGCTTAAGCTTTTATTTGCAAGACAGAAAGGCAGTGTGTGAAAGATGCATGTTAATCTACTTCCTGTAGGTATATAATAGGTTCCGAAAACGATGGAGCTTGATGGGTAAATGTCCACGGAAAGAGCCGTGGTACTGACTCCTCCCCTCCTTCCTCAGGTGGACTCTGTCAGCCTACCCCCGCTGCAGATCTCACTGGACTGCTAGTGGACTCATCCCCAAGGTCTCTGTCACAGGTTGAATTGTGTCCCTCAAAAAACATATGTTATTAAAGTCCTAACCCCCAGCGTCTCATACTGTCAGCTGATTTGAAAACATGTAGTTAATTAAATTAAGTTGAGGTCACATTGGAGAATGGTAAGCCCTTAATCCAGTATGACTGGTGTCCTCATAAGAAGACACACAGACACACATGAAGGGAGAATGCCAGGTGGTGATAGAGGCAAATGTTGAAGAGCTGTGTGTGCACCAAGAGATACTAACATTTGCCAGCAAGACCACCAGAAGCTGGGAAGAGGGAAAGAATGATTTTACCCAGAGCTTCAGAGGGAACATGGCTCTGCCCAAACCTTGATTTTGGATTTCTGGCCTTCAGAAGTGTGAGAGAATACATTTCTGCTGGTTTAAGCCATCCAGGTTGTGGCACTTTGTTACGGCAGCTCTAGGAAATGGATACAGTCCCTGTCTGGGTAGTGGTGGATGGACCAGCATGCTGAGTGGGCAAGTAACTCAGGCAAGATGGAGGACTGGGTAGGAACATGAATATGTTTCCATATTTAAGGTTGAATATGGTTCTCTCTTAACAGACTTACAATCCCTGGAGTTGGGGAGGAAGAGAAGTGAGAGGGAGAAAGTAGGTCACCAAACTTTATTTATTGACAACTCCATAAATTTCTGGTTTTCTATTTCACAAGTCCCTCTATCCCTACCAAACATTTCTCTAAGAGTGAGGAGCAAGCAGCCCTAAGAATACATGGAGCTTCCCCTCAAGAGGGGGTTTAAATGCTTCATGGAAAGGCATAATGAAATCAGTCTTGAGTTATACTCTGTGAGAATGTCCCTTTTTCCTAGACCAGTGGTCGGCAAACTCATTTGTCAACAGAGCCAAATATCAACAGCACAACGATTGAAATTTCTTTTGAGAGCCAAATTTTTTAAACTTAAACTATATAGGTAGGTACATTGTTATTAACTTAATTAGGGTACTCCTACGGCTTAGGAAGAGCCACACTCAAGGGGCCAAAGAGCCGCATGTGGCTCATGAGCCGCAGTTTGCCGGCCACTGTCCTAGACTAAATTTTATACAATCTGTGTACACGCATGGGTGCAGCATTCTTTGTACTATCTCACTGATACTATAGAATTGTTATTCATTTGGCCATCAGCAGAGATTATACCAGAGCAGAAGAGAAATCCACACTTGTCCAATGGTCTTTGTTGGGCTTTGCCTGATTCTGTACTCATGCTGGGGAGAAGGGGGTACTGGGACTGACACGCATAGTGAAATGTAGGGGGTTGTTCCCCTGCCCCCAGATGTTATGGCATCCATTGTTACCACTGGCTTTGGCTACAGAAGGTGATGGAATGGGATGTGACCCCCCCCCCCACAGACAATAGGTCTCCCCAGACACAGGAGAGACACTGGCAGGTAAGAAAGCTTTGGGGTATTTATCCCAAGGACTTCTTATTTCATCATCTCTTTGCATTTAGAGTTGTTAATAAAATGAACAATGAACATAAATACATATGTATATACAAACAGCTTCCTGTTAGCTGGCTTCCTTCACCAAATTACCCTAAATAGCAGTCAGAAGCCATGAAAATGTCCCTTTCTTTTATTGACAAATACCTCCTAAACATTCCCTCCTTCTTGGCTTAACCCCATGGTAATTCTTTATGATTAATGACTAATCAATAAGTTTTGAAGCACAAGTAATGAACTTGCTGGTATTTATTTTCAAAACTCTGTAAATCAACTAAGAGTTGACTTCTTTTGGGATAACCTTTTGGTCAGTTGCCATCCAATTTTATTTTCCCTTCTCTGGTTATAAAATCATGTCAGTCTTTTTAAAGGCAAGTAAATTATTGTGGTGAATGCATTACCTCCAGCCTTTCTTCTTGATGATGCTCCCCAGAATCACTTCAGCCCTGGAGGGGAACACAGACAGTGTCTTAGGGTACAGTGGCCTGGAAATGCAAGAGTCAGTGCAAAACACCAGAGCCATTCCTTGTCTGAACTTTCAGGGCCTCCATGTCCCGAAAATAGAAGCTGCTCTCAGCTGGTGGCACAGTTTCCTCTGTTTCTGCTTGTGCCTGCAGAATCCCACTCCAGAGCATCGCAGAGGCACCTGCCAAATCCTTTCACGCTGGCAGGAGACCACCTGTGGTCCTGACACTAAGAAACAGTGCAGTCATTTGGCAGTTTGGTGTTTTTAAACCACTGATCTCATCTCTAAATGTCCTACTTGGCTGTGTACCAAAGGGGAGTCAAGGTTTTGCTTCTATTTGCTATGGCTTCTAATTACGACCCAGGAGAACAATGAGAGCTCACACTGTTTAGACAGACAATATTGACTCCCACGAGATCTTGTAGGATACAAGTGGGTTTAGAAGACCCAGATGTAAGGGCTGCAGATGCAGTGGCCCACACAGAGAATGTCCTGGGTTCCAGTAACAAGCATTGTCATAGACGCAGGACATAAGGAGGTGTAGAGAAGTGTTCTCCCTGCACCTAAGGCCGGGTCATGGAGAGGTATATTGAGGACATACCCACTGTCTTATCCCCATCTTTCTAGCCCAGCTGGGACCCAAGCTTGAGGAGACTACAACTATCTTCTAGGCCCCTCCCAGTAAGACCAGTTCTGCTCTGTGAGGCTTTGTGAGTGGGGACATCAATGGAATTAGCACTTTGTCCACTAGGGTCCTATAGATGGGAGTCATTACTAATCACTATGTGTCTTGACTGAAAGTTCTGTCTGTTGTATTTGGGAGCCTGGCAATAGCCATGAAGCAGTTAGCTATGGAGCGCACCCCAAATAGACGTGTGCTGAATGTTGCAGTGTTCTTTTCTTCCTCCCCTTCTGTCTCTCTGATGGTTGCCTTTGCAATCTTGCTTTTCACAGTGGGAACCTATCTCAGTTACACACTGACAAATCAAACAGTAATTAACCAGAACTGATTCTTCTTCACAGTAGGAATACAAACAGAACTCTTTACACACTTGTTGACCACTCTTCCCCTTTTTCAACCTTAGCCCCATTTGGTATTGAGCAGGATTCAACAAAAGAAGAAAACACTGAGAAAGGGTATGATGAAAGGAGCAAGGCCTTATCAATTTCATTTGCTCTCCTTGGACTCAACAGAAAACATCAGGAATGTGGGCTCTGAACCTCCTAGAGGGCCCTTAAACATTTACACCTGCCCTTGAAAAGGAGGAAACCCACGCAAGGAAAATACACTTGGACCAGGCAATGATGAACCTGATTCAGCAAGTCCAGCATTTTGATTGTAATTCTCACTCGGAGTGGGGTGGAAATTAGGCCTGCAGGTGACCATGCACCTCAATCCTGTTAGAAAATTGCAGAGCTGCTCAAGCAGCTGTCCAGCTACTTAGTGCCTTTCAGCTCTTGGAGCTGCATCCATGTTCACAGTAGGAGGCCAAGGTGTTCCCATTCTGTTCTAAAATATGCTTGTTGTGCTGGAACCCAGAGGACATGGACCTTGGGGCTCACATGAGGGCACATTACCCAGGTGCTCTGACTTAGCAGTGAGCCCTGTCCTAGAGCCCAAACCTGCTCTGGGGTTCATGGGAAGGTTGTGGCTAGATGGGACTTCTCCAGCAAAAGAAGCGAGGCCTCTTTGCAGCCCTCTTTGTCCTCAGAGTGGAGTCTGAAATACCCACTTGTAAAAGACTAGAGGCCCGGTGCATGAATTCGTGCATGGGTGGGGTCCCTCGGCCTTGCTGGCGATCGGGGCCATTGGGGCCGTCTTGCCCAGTCCCGATTGGGGTCGATCCCGGGGGGAGGGACTGTGGGAGGTTGGCTGGCCTAGGGGAGGGACCTCAGGAGGTTGGCCGGCCCAGGCCATGGGAGGTTGGTTGTGGGAGCACATTGACCACCAGGGGGCAGCTCCTGCATTGAGTGTCTGCCCCCTGGTGGTCAGTGTGCATCATAGTGACTGGTCGACTGGCCCTAACGATCATGTAGGCTTTTATATGTATAGATATTGGATTTCTTGGTATCTTTAAGGATCCTCCTTTAATCTCTGATCTACCTGTAATGCTATGTGGAGGAACATGCCTGCAAACAGGAGAATCAGTTCCTGCTTCCCTCCAAAGAGGACGGCCCAGTTTCCTTCGAGGGTCAAGGAACTATGAAATGTGGTTATGAAGTAACAACCACATTGGAATCTGCTCCTTTATTTGCTCACTCATATTTTGAACTAATATTTATTGATCTCCACTGCCACCACTCTGGGCCCAGCCACCTCTGCCCCTCATGTAGACCAAAGCAATTACTTCCAGCCCATTTTTCATACAGGGGCCAGAGGTGGGAAGATTTGGTTGGGCAGAGGGGGCCAGAGATGCCCTGGTGATGGTGGTGGAGGGAGGGGGAAAAGTGGTGCCATAACAGGTGTGGCAAGGACAGATCCTTCTCACCCGCATATCAACAATGGTTAGGGCAGAGTCTCATGGTCCTAGAAATGCCACTTGAGGGACACAAACAGGTACTGACTTACTTTCCAGCAGCGTAGACCTCGGCAGTATCAAAGAGATTAACTCCACTTTCGTAGGCGATCGTCATCAGCCGTTCAGCAACCTGCAAGAGGATGCAGTCCGTCAGAAAAGCCAAATGCTTTTCAAACCTGGGAAGCAATTTTGAATCCTTTAATGGTCTTTAAGAACGTGGAAATGTCCCTAACCACTGCTTGTTTTTCTCAGTTGTAGTAAAGAAAGAAAACCAGAACTTCAGCTAGCCTATCGAGGGTGGATGCATCTTCCCCTGAGATATAGCCGGGCACTGAGGAACTTCCCTTAGCGCCGGGATCCAGCAGCCCCAGGGAGCTCAGTGGGGTGGATAGATCATTGCTCACTCTGCTTGGAAGGCCTGGTTTGACATTCTTTTTGGCACTGTAATCTCTCTGACACAGAGGGTCATTTGTTTTGCAGTTGACTCCATTTCTTCTCCTTTCTCTAAGCCAATGGATTGTGGCACCTGGGTGACTTGTGACTTAAAAGTTTGGACCTGTTTTCCTCAAGACTTAGCAGACTGTTTTGATGAATGAAAGGTTAGACAGAACTGTGACTGTTTTAACTCAGCAAAACCCCAGACACCATCAGAGTGGCCAGCCAGCCGAATCCACAGGACAAGCAGAGGAGGGAGTGGGGCACGGGGACCCAGCTCCTCACTGTCAGCCTGAAAACGCATCTCCAGGCTCTGGTCCTTTCCTTTGTGCTGCTGATGCAAGTGGCAAGTGTGACAAGAGAGTGGGGGTAGCTATAAATGACAGCTTGAGGGACAGCCATTGAGAAATAGCGATAAAGAGAGGTGGAGAGGGGCCATTTTTTCATTTAGACTTATTAGCCAATTGGGAAATTACACACCTCACAAATAATTAAAATTGATTTTTCCATTTATGCTTTTGATTGTGGGCTGAAGTGCTTTATCAGCATTTCCAAGATAAAGTACTTTCCTGTTTTAAAATTGGCCAACCAAAAAAATTCTTAGGCTAGCACAACAGAGTCCCTACAAGTCCTTTAGGAAAAAAGCAGCAAAAGCACTACGACTGCTTTTAATTTACCCCAATTAGAGATTAAAAGTTAAGACAAGCATAGTTTTTCCCATCATGACTGTTCTGTGTTTAAGAAATTACTGTGCTTGTATTATAATATTAACCTTGTGCCATGTCACATGACATGCTGATGGATTGTTATTGGAAAACATACATAATAAATCTTATATATAGAGAAATTTTAAGATAAGATGGAGACTCCTAGATGGAGAGTTCGACTAAATGATTGCTGAGATGTTTCCCAACCGTGGCGTTTGAAGACCTCAACGCGAAGCAATAAAATCACTGAACTAAGTCAGAAGACCAAATTCTAGTCCTGAGTTGAGTTTATTGGTACCTGCAATTGAAAGAACCCTAACTACTTTACTGATGAGAAAATGTAAGTAAAACTCTGAAAATTAAGTGCTATAAGATGATAATACACTCCTACCATTATTTAAAAATACTATTCATATGAATAACATCTATTTTGGTTTTACAATGAAGCCAAATCATCTTTGGGAGGCACCTCACAGGGTTATTGGGTTATTTAGTTTCATGTTTGAAAAATTTTGATGTCCAGTGGCTACTTAATATATGGTTGAACTGTCCTAGTAACGGGGACATCATCCCTTCCAAAGGCAACACTGATGATTGCATCACCCAGCACATAATGGTGTGGTCATCCCAGGATCCCATGTTTGTATTTGCTTTGTGCTGAGCTCACCCGAAGCCAGAGAGAAAGTGGGAAAATCTAGGGAGGTGAATTTATTGCTATTGGCTTACATTTTTGCCACGTGGAAATATTTGAGCTCCAGCAATTCAGCCACTGGTGTGGCCGGTCTGCCTGTGCCTCCCTTCCTTCTCCTTGCTGGCATTCTCTCTGCAGGGACCTGGGGGAAAGCTGCAACTCTCTCTGGAAGGAGAGTAGATATTTGTCTGATCTGCATCTGAGGTGAGAGCTGCTCCAGCCACTCATGACAACTTTATTGTGCAGTTTTTAGAATCATAATTTTGAAATGATTCATTTCAGAGGCTGACCTAGGCAAGCTGGGCCACCTCCACACACCCTACCTGATACCAGTCAGACGGCCCTGTGATGGCCACCCAGATCCTCCTTCAGAATTGAAGGACTTATTCCCGTAGCTGCTTAGGAATCCTGGCCTTCAAGTTACCAGCCCGCTCTGGAAATTGCACTTGGCTAAAGAGAATCGCCTAGATCAAACCTACTTCCCAGAGCAGCCTCTATCCCAGTGATGGCAAACCTATGACACGCGTGTCAGAGGTGACACGCGAACTCATTTTTTTTGGTTGATTTTTCTTTGTTAAATGGCATTTAAATATATAAAATAGATATCAAAAATATAAGTCTTTGTTTTACTATGGTTGCAAATATCAAAAAATTTCTATATGTGACACGGCACCAGAGTTAAGTTAGGGTTTTTTCAAAATGCTGACATGCCGAGCTCAAAAGGTTCGCCATCACTGCTATCCAATGGTTGGTCATACAAAGGATGTAAATGCTCAGTCCTTTTGCCCCAACTTGGGACAATCCTACATTGCCATCTCAGCTTTGGAGCTCCCAGTGGGGTCAGCTGAGGTCATTGTTGAGACTGCATCATGCCTCAGTTTCACTATCTGCCCAATTCTGCTTCCTTCTCTGCCATGTGTTGATTCTGAGATCACTTCCTAATACTGTTCTGCATGCTAATCTCCATCTTGGAGTCTGCTTCTCAAGGAATCTCCTATGTGACAAGCTTTCTGTGGTGACCTATGCCCAATACTGGGAACAGGAATTCAGACAGATAAGAATATGTGGATAAGACTCATCCCCCTGGATCTATAAGCTAATGCTAGTGGCCTTGGGAGCTGGGTATAGATCCCCAGGACCCCCAAGCTTCTGTTTAGGAACGATAGTAAGAACCACCTTTACAAATGACTTGTTCTGGGACAGGTACTGGGCTCAGCACATTATAGGTAATTCTTAATCCCTTCACCTTTTTCACCCAGTTCTCCACACCCTCTCCCCTCTGGCAACCATCAATCTATTCTCTGTATCTATGAGTCTATTTCAATGTGTTTGTTGTTCTTTAGATTCCACATATGAGTGAAATCATTAGGTAATGAGCTTTCCCTAACTGAGTTACCATAATTTCCTCTACCATAATTTCCTCTAGGTGTACCTATGCTGTTACAATGGTAAAGTTTCATATGAAAGTATTCCTTAAATGCAATGATAAGCATATAACCATGATAAGCACTATTTTTGAATTGTAAACAAAAATTTAAAGGAATGTAATGAGTGTCTGCCATTTATTGAGTGTCTGCTACCTACTAGTCAAAGGGCTATATAAATGTCTTGCATGCATAACATGGTTAATTCTTTCTATAGATCCTGGAGGTCCACATTATTATCCCATTTTACATAGGATAATCTGAGACTCAGAGCAATTGGATTAACTTGTCCAAGCCGGGATGACCAACTGTCCTGGTTTGCCCTGGTCTGAGAAACCCCTTGCTAAAATAAGAAAGTCCATGCCAATTGGGACCACTTTGGTCACCCTGAATGGAGCTAAAACAAACAACATCAATACAATCTTTCTATAAGGTGACTAATATTCATTCCAAACTGGTTCCTTCTCCCTATCTACTGAGCCTGCACATATAATGCATTGACAGTCTCAAGGATTAATAGTCTAAATGTGAAAAATACAAGAAGCAAGATAAAATTGAAAGTAATACTTGAGTCAACCTTAGCCATTTCCCATGATTACAGCAATCCTTGTAAAATGCCAGAAACTCGGGCAGAATACTCCTACCACGTAGCTCTCTCTGCATTTTCTTTGATCAGCACAATGGAAGATAAAAGTAACTTACCTCATCTGAAATTTGACCTCCAAATGTCACCCATGTTCCTAGAAAAGAATAAATATTTGTATATTACTTACAACATAATCATTTTTCTAATATTGTGTATAATGAGAGGAAACAATTTTTCTTACAAGACTACTTCAACAGGTTGTTTATGAAGGTACTTGGAGGAGGGGCACCTGGGGGCTGAAGTCCAGCCCATCCTCCTCCCCGCACTAAGTCATCCAGCAGGAGTCTGCATCCCCCTGGAGGAGAGAATGCCCTTTCTTCATTCATAGGGACCATATTTGCTAAGGGCAGCCCATTCCTACACAATGCTTTCTCTTCTGACAGAGGACCATGAATGCTAATGTGCAATAAGGGACCGTTACCATGCCTGCTCTGAATACACACCCATTCTTGCTCTCACTTAGCTAAGGAGCCACCCTTAGTTGAAAGTGAAGGTAAGATCTTGGGTTGTGGTTCTTTCCTTCATTGTCTCCAACAGTCGAGTCTGTTTTGTATTCCCTCTTACCTCTCAAAAGGAAGCCTCTCAAATGTCTTCCCAGTGCCCACTTCCAAGCCCCAGGAGGTGACACCTCCTTGTACTTACTTGCAGACTTGTTTGCCTGGCTAAAACAATGTTGACCAGCTTGCTATTTTAATAAAATTTGAATAAGGTACCAACATTTAAATAATTAGGAGATTTTTCTTTAAAATGTCTGATTTCTAGTTTCTCTTAACAACAGAAGGCTGGGTGTCCCCACAGGCAGACATCCCTGAATTGGGGGCAATGTCCTTGGGGGGAGGGCTGTGCCCTCCACGGTCTGTCCAAGTCCGCATACCTTCCTTTGCATTTCCAACACTGAAATCAAATGCAGTTGTTATTTCCCGCCGCATGTTTATTGCTCTTTTTTTAAATTGTAAAATTAAGAGAAAAATAAGCTTGTGCATTTCCTAAAAAAACAGAGTGGAGGATTCATGAAAAAAAATAGGAGTGTACTTTTTTTTTTTTTTTTTGCACATGTGAAGAACATAAAAACAAAGATTGTTTGCCCAGAAAAATTATAACTTAAGGCACCATAATAAAACCAGCCATGACTGGTATACAAAAAAGATGGGCGTTGAGAAACTTAATGAACTGGAGAAATGGCAGTGTTTGTTTTTGAATGAAAGCAAAATAAGTGGTCGCTGTGAGATACAGTTCTCTTAGGTGAAAAAATAGCTATGGCATCAAAACCTTTTTTACAGACAATACTGTTATAAAAGAGTCTCTTTTGAATGCAGCAGAAATCATGTGTCCAGAGAATAAACAAGCATTTGCAAATTTTAGTATAATCAGAATCATTGTACTCAGCATGTTAAAAATATGGTTGAAAACTTTCAGAATAAGTTAAATTATTGGTGGCATTTCCTATTGCAGCCAATGAGAACACAGATATAAATAATAACATGCTGTTCGCTGTGCTTATTTGTGATATTTTGAGAATTTTGGAAGGGTCAAAGAGCTTTTGAACAAGAAGTTCTGCAAAGCACAACATCAGGGAATGGTTTACTTTGTGATGAGAAAGGTCTCAGACCAGTGGATGTAGGATGCTCTGTTTTGAGTTATGTGTTGACTACAGATAGGGCTCTCTCACAAAGGATGGGGCTAACATTGAACCTGTCAAACACCAGATCCCCAGGCGGCAGCATTTTGTAGGGGCACTAAATATTGAAGTCCATAACTGTTCATTTTCTCATTCATCAGGAGTTTGCTTTGGGCTGAAAAGCTCAAGTGAGACAGGCGACGAATTCAATAATTAATGCCATGAATTGGTTATTCTTTTGCATCTTGGAGCAAAATCAGGCCGGTGTCTGCTTGATGAATTTGCTGGTTTACTT